AGTTGGTATGGTATGGTAAAATGTTATCTAGTTTTGATCAATACATCAAAACATTTACCAAAATTAAATACAGAAAAAAATCAGGGTGAAATGTTTCTCTATAAACGCCATTTATGTCAGTACCTTTTATAACTAAACACTGTTATTAAAAACTTTTATATTCTGCATCAAAATAAGAATAAGTTTAAAATCTAACATGCTCTGATTTGTTTTAAAGTGAATACTTATCAAAAATTGGTTGTCTGGTTCTCATGCAGCCCCATGTTTTCTGTTGGTCGTCATGCATAAGAGCCAGAGGGATAAAGAGAGATGGATGGAAGCATTTGAAGCTTCATAACTGAGTTAGATATCTATCTTTGCTGGAACATAAGATTTCACTGACTAAAATGAGTAATTTCTTTAGAAAATAACTTTTCAAGCCTTGAGATCTCAGAACTGTTTGCCATGTCTGGCAGGTTGAGCCTGGTTCCACTTGTGCTGTTTTTGGACTTGGAGCTGTTGGCTTGGCTGCCATCATGGGCTGCAAGGTTGCTGGAGCAACCAGGATCATCGGTGTGGACATCAACCCCGACAAGTTCGAGAAGGCCAAAGAGTTTGGAGCCACCGAGTTTGTAAACCCGAAGGACCACAGCAAGCCCATCCAGGAGGTTCTGGTGGAGATGACTGATGGCGGTGTGGACTACTCGTTTGAGTGCATTGGAAATGTGCAAATCATGGTGCGTTCTGTTGGGTCATTGGTCATGATCTACTGGTAGAGAGGAGAAATGTCATTACCGCCGTGTTTAGTAAGAAATAAAGATGTTTTAAAGTAGCTACATAAATGTTTCTATTGCAGAGGGCCGCTTTAGAGGCGTGTCACAAAGGTTGGGGTGAAAGTGTCATCATTGGTGTAGCTGGAGCAGGACAAGAGATCTCCACCAGACCATTCCAACTGGTGACGGGCAGAGTGTGGAGAGGCACGGCATTCGGAGGTGGGAATTCTGTACTTTTCAAACCTTTGCTAACGGTGCTTTGATCTGCAGTTACCCTCATCAAATATGTGCTTCCTCCAGGGTGGAAGAGTGTGGAGAGTGTTCCTAAATTGGTGGAAGACTACATGAGTAAAAAGCTGAAGGTGGACGAGTTTGTAACACACACTCTTCCATTTGAGAAGATCAACGAAGCTTTTGACCTGATGCATGCTGGGAAGAGGTAGGAAACGGTCAAACATGCCAACTTGAGTTTAACAATTAAACTTTAATGTTAGATTTCAGAAACATCTGCAAAGCTTGCATAGTTTCTTCACACATTTCTGTTGTTGCAGCTTTGTCTAAATCCTGACACATCTTTTGCCTTTTCTGTTTGTTTTTTTTTACACCACAGCATCCGAAGCGTGTTGACTTTCTGACGTGCCTTAGACATCCAACACAGCCAGCCTTAAAGAAGCCTCAGTCTGTTGTTCCAGCACTTCTCTGCACTTCCTTTGATATAGGTTCCAGAGTTTAAAAGAAGCTCTTTAACACAAGAACAACTGTTTGAACCATTAATACTGTCAATAAAACCTTATTATAAAAAATAACTACTTGCTTCCGACTTCACTTTGATGACATTTCACACCCCGACACAGATTGGCGGGCATCGTGCAGTTAAGTGTCTTACCCAACGGCAGGTAAACATGTGGTGAGAACTGGAGCAGATTGTAAGAATTGCTTTTACAAATGACCTGCAACAAATTCTTGTTACTGCTGATATTAAGATTATTATTGCATGTATTGACCATCTGGCTCTACTATAGAATATTCTAGAAAACAATGTGCAATGTGGAGCTTTCAATATTGTTCACTACAAGGATGCCACAAAATGCAACAGATACTTAAACAGAATCACTCCTATTTAAGCAACATTATATTTTCAAAAATTTAATTGGAAAGAATATTTAAAGTGGGCACCCTATTATAAGTTATCATTTACCTACATTCATAGTTCATCGCAGCCAAATAAAATAAAAGACTCCATTGATTAAATAAAGGATGTTTGAGTTGGACAAAATAAGGAAGTTCTGCAATGGCCTGCTAAAGGATACAGTATAAGGATATGATTTTAGCTTATCATTTTTGCAATTTTTAGTCACAAAATGTTCTGATATCGGTGCGGGGCAAAAAAAAAAAAAAGATAATATAAAACAAAAGGTGACAGATGGGGTTGGGCAGTGATTAATCGTGCTACCCACGTACAGAGGATTGTCCCTCGATGCAGTGCCAGCTTTGAGCACTTTGCCGCACATCTTCCCGTCTGCTTATTTTCAGAAATAAAGGCCAATAGAGCCTTATAATAATCTTTAACACCCTGCACAAGTTGGGGTTGGTACAACAAAATAGTCCTATAGATGTTTAAAATTCCAATTAGACCTAAATAGATGAAACACAAGTTGTGTCAAAAAAAAAAATTAAAACAAGCTGGAGAGCTAAATTTGAGAGAGCAGTTGTGATTTGAAAAGAATGGCAAATTTTGAATTGTTACATAAATATACAAATTGTTTTGGTGGGAAAAAAAAAACCCTGTTGTGTGGTTGCTATAATCTAGATGGCAGAATTTACACAGGCATAATAGAATTTATATATTCTTTTTGTTTTTCAGTAGAAAATGATAAGGTGGTAAATAAATTTAACTTCTTTTTTGTGAAGTTTATTCCTCTTCTACTAAGAGGAATAATTAAAGAGGTGAAAAGTCAATGGAAAAATCAAATCTTCAACATACATAATGTGGAGTCCCCACATTTTCAGTGTTTGGTCAGTAGGTTAGTGACAGGTAACAAATGATTCTTTTTGTAGATAACACATTTAAATTTTTTTTAGGAATAATTTCAAAAACCATAGAATGTATGGTTGATGGTTGTCTAAACTCAATGAGAGATTTAAATATAATAAATTATTGATGAACTGGATAAAACAAATTCAAGATAGGTAAAAGAAAAATAGAGGACACTATTATGATGATAATCAAGTAAACATACATAAATGTAAGTTTTGGATCATAAACCTAACTGCAAATCTTAATATAAAGCTAAAACTAAGCAAAGGTATTGGACTTATAAAGTAAAATAATTTTTTTCAAATTATTAATTTGTTTTTCCAACGTGTATAAAGGTTCTGGGCAACACACAAAACCAACACTAAACCTTTGTATGTGATACCAAGAGGTGTGTTCATTTAAAAAAATTTGTTATGTTGAAATCTAGCAATAATTTAAAAGTTCTTTTTATTTTAATTTCAAACATGGGTCGACATGTTCCTTATTTGGTCATCTGACTGCGCATGCGCAGCAGGCGGGTATTTTAACTGACGTCCAATGGCTGGAAATGATTCCAGAAGATGGCGACCGCTGTATTGGTGAGTCCCATTGAACGCTACTAACAGTTAGACTAAGCTGTCGGTGCGGGGTTTTAGCCGAACCGAGGAGCAAGTTTATCCGATACCGAACACGTTATGTGAAATTTTAGAGACAGTCCCGAGCGTTAAAAAGAGAAGCTGGTAAAATGTTTCCGAACTGTTTGCTTTATAGAAAGTTAACGCAGCAAATATAAGTTAACGGTTTTATTAGAACCGTTCGTTAGAACACAGCTGTTTTGACTTTTATGTTTTACACTGACCCATATGATTCGGATAACTCACAGAGAACTTTTTATACGGACTGTAAAGACGAGTTGAGTTCATGTTCTGTTGGCAATGAATGACAACTCGGACGTGGAGAAACATTAAAGTCCACGTCACATGTTACTGGTCAGGATGGTGTGGAGTTTAAATTCGGTTCCGGTCAGTTCTGACAGAATCAACCAGACACCAGGAAAAAGTTATCTGCAACTTAACGGGTTGGAGGATGCCTGTGAGAGTGCGACATTCTCTGGTAATAAGTGTTTTTCCATGGAGGAGAGAAAAAAGAATTGAGCATCTACCTTTTTGACATTTCCCTAGGGAAGAGGATTATGCCCACAGGAAAAAAAGGAAAAAAACAACAACTGATTTTTAAATATTTCAGTTTAATCAGGGGAAAAAAAGTCTGACTTTCTTGTTCTCAGAATTCTGAATTAATGTTAGAATCCTGACTTAAATCTCAGAATCCTGACTTCTTTAATCTCAGAATCCCGACCTCCTTAATCTCAGAATTTTGGATCTTAATCTCAAAGGTCACCCCGAAGGAAGAGATGTGGGAGCACTTAGCTTCACTAACAAAGATGTTAGTTGTTTGGGAAGGCTAGTAACACATTGGTGGAAAATGATGGAATTAGGCGACTTTTTACGTTCAGGAGTCCCTGGTGATGCTTTCATTAATGGAAGAGCAGTTAGTTTAGTCTCTAGACATGGCTACAGCTTGATACTAACCTGTTGGTTAGCTGTCAGAATTCTGAGGAAAAAAAAGTTAGAATTCTGAGATTAAAGTCAGAATATAATATTATATTATAAATGATATTTAAAAATCAGTTAACTTTTTTATTTTTTCAGTGGCCCTAATCCTCTTCCATATTTTCCAGCTTGTATTCCTAAAAAAACATCTAAAAAGGACTGATGTAGCTCTGAGTCAGAAGTGTTGAGTTCTCTCATGGTAATGATAGGAAAGTGAATAAGATTGAAAATGTAATTTTCAAAGTTTTAAATGTGTGTAGAGATGGAAACAATATCATCCATATAAGCATGTTTTTATTTACTTTATTTCTCCAAAACAGACAACCTCCCTCCCTGCAAATTCTGAAAAGAATTATGAAAAATCTCTTCAGAAGGTTGTAAGTCCTGAAGTTTACATCAAACATCCTTTACAAAACAGGTAACTCTGCATTTTAAGTTTTTGTTTTCAGATATGTTTAAAAATGTATTGTTTTGTAAGTCAGTGTGTCACAACCTTTTTTTGACTTGTGTAACCCTTTGGACATTTTTTCGTACAATGAGCACCCCTCTCAGTCAAAAGCTGGCCCGATAGTCCAAAAGTAGAATGTACAAT